TATTTTTTGCGTAATTCCTGTAGATATAGTTGTATATGTGTTAAAATTATTCACTTACATGTATAGAACATACACGATGACACAGAACATGACCTAAAGATGCGAATTCTGGTAGATTAGTTGACACATGACAGTTATTCTGGGGTTCGATTGATCAATAGTGGATGCTGACTGGTTAATAGTGGATGCTGACTGGTTAATAGTGGATGCTGACTGGTTAATAGTGGATGCTGACTGGTCAATAGTGGATGCTGACTGGTTAATAGTGGATGCTGACTGGTTAATAGTGGATGCTGACTGGTTAATAGTGGATGCTGACTGGTTAATAGTGGATGCTGACTGGTTAATAGTGGATGCTGACTGGTTAATAGTGGATGCTGACTGGTCAATAGTGGATGCTGACTGGTTAATAGTGGATGCTGACTGGTTAATAGTGGATGCTGACTGGTTAATAGTGGATGCTGACTGGTTAATAGTGGATGCTGACTGGTTAATAGTGGATGCTGACTGGTTAATAGTGGATGCTGACTGGTTAATAGTGGATGCTGACTGGTTAATAGTGGATGCTGACTGGTTAATAGTGGATGCTGACTGGTTAATAGTGGATGCTGACTGGTTAATAGTGGATGCTGACTGGTTAATAGTGGATGCTGACTGGTTAATAGTGGATGCTGACTGGTTAATAGTGGATGCTGACTAGTGACTGGTTAATAGTGCATGCTGACTGGTTAATAGTGGATGCTGACTGGTTAATAGTGCATGCTGACTGGTTAATAGTGGATGCTGACTGGTTAATAGTGGATGCTGACTGGTTAATAGTGGATGCTGACTGGTTAATAGTGGATGCTGACTGGTTAATAGTGGATGCTGACTGGTTAATAGTGGATGCTGACTGGTTAATAGTGGATGCTGACTGGTCAATAGTGGATGCTGACTGGTTAATAGTGGATGCTGACTGGTTAATAGTGGATGCTGACTGGTTAATAGTGGATGCTGACTGGTTAATAGTGGATGCTGACTGGTTAATAGTGGATGCTGACTGGTTAATATTGGATGCTGACTGGTTAATAGTGGATGCTGACTGGTTAATAGTGGATGCTGACTGGTTAATAGTGGATGCTGACTGGTTAATAGTGGATGCTGACTGGTTAATAGTGGATGCTGATTGGTTAATAGTGGATGCTGATTGGTTAATATAGATGTCACGTGTCTATAAAATATGCATCAACTCCCCACCAGTATCCACATATATTGACTCCTTAATTAATCTAGCATCTCATATAATACCGCACTAATAAATACATAAATACGGCACCTAAGAGTACATAATATACAACAACTCTTTATATAGTCATCAGTCGACACTCAAGAACGTAACCCAAATTTATCTCCCGCACTTGGCAGTAAATATTAGATTACCTGTTAATTTGTAGTAGTACATGGAATCATAACCATGTAATTTGCTGAAAATTGGAAGGCGAAAATAAACTTTTCTATTTCTTTAATTGCAATTGTTTCTTGTGGAGAATTTCTCGCAACTTCTGATTTTTTGTTGAGATAAAACGTTGTTATAAGTAAGTCTATATGATTATCTTGAATTCATTTGACTAGTAATTTAGTATCTAGAATTAGATGTGAAGCGATGTATGAATTTTCTACTAATCTGATATCATACTCATAGCTTCTGTCATTTTTTGCTTCGATACATATCCCTTATAATGATTGCATATGCATAGGTCCTTAGTGCGGGTGGGCGACAATTGACCCCCCGACAATTGACCCCCCGACAATTGACCCCCCGACAATTGACCCCCCGACAATTAACCCCCCGACAATTGACCCCCGACAATTGACCCCCCGACAATTGACCCCCCGACAATTGACCCCCCGACAATTGACCCCCGACAATTGACCCCCCGAAAATATAATTTAATACAATTAACCCTGACCCTGACCCTGACCCTGACCCTGACCCTGACCCTGACCCTGACCCTGACCCTGACCCTGACCCTGACCCTGACCCTGACCCTGACCCTGACCCTGACCCTGACCCTGACCCTGACCCTGACCCTGACCCTGACCCTGACCCTGACCCTGACCCTGACCCTGACCCTGACCCTGACCCTGACCCTGACCCTGACCCTGACCCTGACCCTGACCCTGACCCTGACCCTGACCCTGACCCTGACCCTGACCCTGACCCTGACCCTGACCCTGACCCTGACCCTGACCCTGACCCTGACCCTGACCCTGACCCTGACCCTGACCCTGACCCTGACCCTGACCCTGACCCTGACCCTGACCCTGACCCTGACCCTGACCCTGACCCTGACCCTGACCCTGACCCTGACCCTGACCCTGACCCTGACCCTGACCCTGACCCTGACCCTGACCCTGACCCTGACCCTGACCCTGACCCTGACCCTGACCCTGACCCTGACCCTGACCCTGACCCTGACCCTGACCCTGACCCTGACCCTGACCCTGACCCTGACCCTGACCCTGACCCTGACCCTGACCCTGACCCTGACCCTGACCCTGACCCTGACCCTGACCCTGACCCTGACCCTGACCCTGACCCTGACCCTGACCCTGACCCTGACCCTGACCCTGACCCTGACCCTGACCCTGACCCTGACCCTGACCCTGACCCTGACCCTGACCCTGACCCTGACCCTGACCCTGACCCTGACCCTGACCCTGACCCTGACCCTGACCCTGACCCTGACCCTGACCCTGACCCTGACCCTGACCCTGACCCTGACCCTGACCCTGACCCTGACCCTGACCCTGACCCTGACCCTGACCCTGACCCTGACCCTGACCCTGACCCTGACCCTGACCCTGACCCTGACCCTGACCCTGACCCTGACCCTGACCCTGACCCTGACCCTGACCCTGACCCTGACCCTGACCCTGACCCTGACCCTGACCCTGACCCTGACCCTGACCCTGACCCTGACCCTGACCCTGACCCTGACCCTGACCCTGACCCTGACCCTGACCCTGACCCTGACCCTGACCCTGACCCTGACCCTGACCCTGACCCTGACCCTGACCCTGACCCTGACCCTGACCCTGACCCTGACCCTGACCCTGACCCTGACCCTGACCCTGACCCTGACCCTGACCCTGACCCTGACCCTGACCCTGACCCTGACCCTGACCCTGACCCTGACCCTGACCCTGACCCTGACCCTGACCCTGACCCTGACCCTGACCCTGACCCTGACCCTGACCCTGACCCTGACCCTGACCCTGACCCTGACCCTGACCCTGACCCTGACCCTGACCCTGACCCTGACCCTGACCCTGACCCTGACCCTGACCCTGACCCTGACCCTGACCCTGACCCTGACCCTGACCCTGACCCTGACCCTGACCCTGACCCTGACCCTGACCCTGACCCTGACCCTGACCCTGACCCTGACCCTGACCCTGACCCTGACCCTGACCCTGACCCTGACCCTGACCCTGACCCTGACCCTGACCCTGACCCTGACCCTGACCCTGACCCTGACCCTGACCCTGACCCTGACCCTGACCCTGACCCTGACCCTGACCCTGACCCTGACCCTGACCCTGACCCTGACCCTGACCCTGACCCTGACCCTGACCCTGACCCTGACCCTGACCCTGACCCTGACCCTGACCCTGACCCTGACCCTGACCCTGACCCTGACCCTGACCCTGACCCTGACCCTGACCCTGACCCTGACCCTGACCCTGACCCTGACCCTGACCCTGACCCTGACCCTGACCCTGACCCTGACCCTGACCCTGACCCTGACCCTGACCCTGACCCTGACCCTGACCCTGACCCTGACCCTGACCCTGACCCTGACCCTGACCCTGACCCTAACCCTAACCCTAACCCTAACCCTAACCCTAACCTTAACCCTAACCCTAACCCTAACCCGATTAATTTACCCCAGTTTAATTACAATTGTCGGGGGGTCAATTGTCGGGGGGTCAATTGTCGGGGGGTCAATTGTCGGGGGGTAAATTGTCGTACTAAGCCCTAGATTTCGCGACAATTGACCCCAGTGTAATTACATAGACTTAGAGGGTCAATTGTCGGGGGTCAATTGTCGGGGGTTAATTGTCGGGGGGTCAATTGTCGGGGGTCAATTGTCGTACTAAACCCTAGATTTCGCGACAATTGGCCCCAGTGTAATTACACAGGGGGTCAATTGTCGGGGGGTCAATTGTCGGGGGGTCAATTGTCGCGGTACCCCTTAGTGCATCTCGGTTTTATGATACAATACCTGATTAGACCACCAAATATCGTTTTTGATTAGAAAATGATTTTATTATAGTATAAGAGAATCATAAAAAGCCTCGGTTGCTATACCAACGAATTATCCAACTATTTTCATTATCTTTTTATTCTACTCCTCAAATACCCAGGAATTATAAAATAATCTAGCATGAGCAAGCCTAAAATCAGTCTGATTATTGCAGTATCGGTAATTAGAACCCATAAACCCATCCAGAAGTTTTCTCATCCGTCTACTTATTACCTACGAGTATCAAGACTCAAGTAGATATGAACAAGACAAGCAGAAATCATCGATATTTCAACACCACTGCTTGTAAATATATCTACTGTTGAAGTGAGATTATCAGCTCATTATCACGATGAGTGAAGACTGACTAAAAGAGTTTAGTAATTTCAACACATCTCCATCTGTCATGAAAATGATTGAACCTGCTTTGAACGGCTAGATTTCCAGTTATCTTGTCCGTCTGAAGGCATGGGTATAGCTTCAGCTTTTGCCTGCTAATCGTGCCAAGAAAACATTTGTACTAAAATAATACTTTAAAAACCATATACTCGTCGAGGGGTGATTATTTTTTAAGTCATTAGGGAAACCTTGTATCTAACCTTAACTTTCAGTCGTTTTGTAAGCTAAACCACTGTCTCCCCTCAATACATGATTTCGTAAACGTTTATTTTGTAGTGTTTCTTAATGTTGCCCGTAGTTTCTTAGCAGAGTATGAACGAGACATCGGCATACGATAGTGATTACTATGATCCAACAGTCGACAAAATCTTAGCGATAGTTTACTTCATGCTCGCTGTTTGTGTTCTCTTCTTCAACAGTCTAGAGGTTAGTTCAAAGCGACTTTTAAAATTCTGAGGAATATCCGATATTGTTGATATCGAATATTGGTAGATACACTTTTTCGGCTTCATCCAAATTAGACATTAAATCACGCGCCACACTTATGGTCACTCACAACATTTATAACAAATCACTTCTTTAGTAGGTGAAATAAATATGATATAGGACTGATTGACTTGTGAGACGGTCGTGACCAGGCAACTTACTAATCACTTTCTCAGGCATATCTGATGATCAGACTCCGACACGAGAGGTCGGTAACAACAGTGTTCACCTGCAGTCTCACCCTTACCGATATATCCATGGGTTGTATGGGCATTCCTTTCTCGGCTATTGCCATGTCACAGCAGAGACGATGGATCTTCCAGGGCGTGAGTGGTGTTCTTATACATTTATAACATGCCTTCTGGTACAATAATAAATGCTATCACTTTGTTTTTAAGCTTTTTCTGGAATACGATAGTGAAACAGGTGTTGTTACAAAAGTGATTATCTTAATACTGCATCAAACTGATTGATTACAGGTCTGTATAGAGGAACCTGTAACTATAATTATCTCTCAATTAATTAATTAGCCCTGTTCTCTCAGGTGATGTGCAATATCTCTGGATTCTTCATCAACACTTGTACTTTCACATCCCTCTTCAGTATTTGCCTCATCACCGTCAACAGGTAACATCTTCATTAAAGAAGTGTAATTTTAAGAGAATTTGAGACAGTGATATTAAATGTATCATGGAAGACTCAGATAATGAAATAAACAGCCCAGATAAAGTGAATAAAACATTATACATTTGGATTTTCAACTACCGATAATCAACAAGTAAACTGAAAACCGACCATCTGTCCCAGGTACTTGGCTCTGATATTTCCGATAAAGTACAAGAGGTTCATGACCATCCGAATATCCCAAATAGCAGTAGCTGTAGTGTGGGCCATCGCTTGTCTGAGGTCATCCATCCCTTTCTTTTTCGGCAAAGGATACACTTACTATGAGACAACTCTTTGTAGCTGGTAATCCATTCAGAATTTTTATTTCATCTAAACTACAATATTACTCGAAATTGAACGACGTATACTCAACTATTGATTTGGAGAGTTTTGATGATATATCATCAAAACTGATAAATTGATATATATATCAAATTGATATATATATCAAATTGATATATGACTTGACTTACTGACTTAAGGCGGCTTCAGCGTCCGAGTATTGATGCGCTGTCTCCATAAAACTCTATCCGCCATAAGTCCGCCCATTTCTCCAGTGTCGTTGAGACCCGTGTCAGCTCGTAGGCTATCAACATAGGTCATGGCTGGTCTCCCCCTACTCCGCACCCCATGAGTTGGTTCCCAGAGTAGCAAGCGGTTTGCGACTAGTTCTGGGTGCCGGTGGATATGGCCTGCTAGTCGCATCCTGCGCTCTTGGATCTTCATGGTTGCTCTTGGTAGGTTGCCATAGACTTCTTTGTTGGTTTTTCGCTGCTTCCAATCCACATTAAGTGCCATCCTTAGCATTCTAGTGTAGCAGCCATCAATGCTTTTCTTCAATTTCTCTGTCAACGTCCACGTTTCAGAACCATAAAGAAGTATTGACTCCACAGTAGCAACAAATAGACGGATCTTAAGTCCTCTTCTAAGGTCAGACTTCCACATCTTCTTTAGCTTGTGGCAGGCTGCCCAAGCCTTAGCTTTTCTGACCCGCAGGTCCCTCTCTGTTGTTGCTATCCAAGCTCCAAGGTAAACAAAGTCTGTCACCTTTTCCAGCTGGTTTCCAGAACAGCTATTTAGACTACTCGCCTCCTCTGTCATGTTCAGAGTCATGAACTTAGTTTTAGTGCCGTTCATGGCTAGCCCAACACTCAGTGCTGCTTTCTCAAGCCTGTCCAGGAGTAGTTTTGCCCCTTCAATGGTATCAGTGATAAGGGCAACATCATCTGCAAACTCAACGTCTGCGATCTTCTCGGCACCAATCCTTCTACTCCGTGCAGGCCTGAGAGTGAACCCAGAGTCCGAGTCATCATCGTCAATGGTCACTGTCATGATATAGTCAATCACGATAATGAACAAGTACGGGGCAAGAGTGTCTCCTTGCAGTACTCCAGCCAGGATATCAAAAATTTCTGTTATACCATCGGCTGTAACTACTTTAGCCTTTGTGCTCGTATAGATACCCTCAATGAGCCGCACTATGGCTTCTGGTATGCCATATGCTTTCAATATCTTCATGAGCAAACCTCTATGCACACTATCGAACGCCTTTTTGAAATCAATGAAAACCATGGTGGCCTTAAGATTTTTGGCTCTAGCACCCTCCATAATTCTTCGTAGAGCAAGGATGTGCGATGTTGTAGAGCGCCCAGGTCTAAAGCCATTCTGGTTGTCCCTTAAAACTTCCTCAAGACTTGGCTTCATCCTGTTCAGCAACATTTTGTTCAGAGTTTTACTGACTATCGATGTCAGAGATATTCCTCTGTAGTTGTCGGTCTTAGTGAGGTCCCCTTTCTTTGGCACAGGAACAATATTACTGAGCTTCCATTGATCGGGCATGAGACCATCACATAATGCATCGTTGCAGAACTTCAGGATGACGTCATCGATGTCCACCCTCTTCATCACTTCAGGTGAGATACCATCATCACCATAAGCTTTGCCTTCTACTATCTGCTTTTTGGCAAGACGTAGTTCTTCAATGGTGAACGGGCCATCCTCTATATTCAGTGGAGGGTGTATATTCCTGATCGGAATATTATTGTCAGGGACTGTGGGTGGCTGTCCAAGTAACCCAGAGAAGTGCTTCCTCCAGTTCTCAAGACGTTCTGTTGAGCTGCCCCCTTCCACGAGTCCACAGCTGGGATTTGTCCTCCCTGAAATATCGTTGACAAGCTTCCAACTTTCTTTGTTCTTACAACGATCAGCAGTATCCTCAACTTTCCTGATCTTTCCTTTCAGGATCTCCTCCTCTACCTCTTTGTAGCAGGCCTTTAACAAATCCTTTTTAGTGGCGACTTCCTCTCTCTTCTCCTCACAAGGCTCCTGATGGTATTGGTCCTTGGCCAAGAACAGTCCCCTCCTTGCACTTTCCACTCTTGGGTCACTTGAGGGGTCAATCTGCTTTTGTCGAGTCTTCTTTGGCAGAAGGCTCTTGTTTGCCGCCTCAATAGCAACCATAAGCTTCCCGTAGCTTTCAGTGGCCCCATCATCCTCCTCTACCAGGCCAGAGAATCTATTCCGAACTTCAATTGCATACTTTTTTTGAAGCTCACCATCCGACTTCAGGGCACTATAATCATAGTTAACTTTTTTCGGAGGCCTGTGTCCTTTCCTAAAGCTAACTTTGATCTTACACACTACAACTCTGTGATCAGATCCCAACGACTGAAAAGTGTTGTAAACTTCAGTGTTCTTTAATGAGTTTTTCCACTTCCGCCGTATGAGGATATAGTCAATCTGACCTTTGTTAAGTGTCCCATCGGATAAGAAGGTCCACCTCTTGTTGACCTTCTTTCTGAAGCGGATATTGGTAATTTCCATATCACACTCCAGGGCAGTGTCTCTCAGTAGCTCTCCATTCCGATTGGTACGAGTATGAAAGTACCAACGGGAATCTTCTTCACTCTCCCTTCCAAGCCGGGCGTTCATATCTCCCTCTGTGATCAGCAGGTGGTGCGCTGGCACATCATTCATAGCCTGTCTAAGGGTGTTATGGAAATCCTCCGCTTCTTCAACTAGTGCTGCCTCAGTAGGACTATAGGCAGTTATAGTTGTGAGTCTGGGATTTCCGTTGAAAGAGATAGTCAGCACCCTTGAGCCATAGGGTTTAATGAGGCTGATTGCGCTGTATGCTCTTCTAGTCAGCAGAAAGCCCACTCCACCAGTGGCTGCTCCTGCTCCATTCCTCCATGCTGAAACAGTTACCAAGCTAACCCCCTCCTTGAACTTTTCGATCTTGATCGGCTCCTGGTGGACAATCCTATGTTCTTGGATCCCAAGGATCTCCATGCCACTCTCCAGAAACTGAGTCACGAGTTCAAGGCGCTTGTAACCTTCTCTAGCAGTTCGGACATTAAATGTCCCTACTAGAGCTACCTCACTACAAGAAACCAATGCATCCCCATCCTTTTTTTGTTGTTTTATGTTATTTTTTGTGCCGGGTGAAGGAGCCGGCATATCATCTGTCACCCCTCTCCTAGGGAGTTTTAGGGTGAGAGAGTCATCAATCCGGTCCCCTCCGACATCTAAATCAGTGGTAGGGACTTTAACCCTAGTGTTATTATAAGACATCATCACATATATCAATTTAAAATTTCGGGTAAGTCATGAATTTAAAATGAATCACATTGTGTCTCAGGTCAACAAGGGACGTATTCGGGGATCAGGAGATCAAATTCTATTACCTGTTATTCGTGGTACCGTTCTGCCTTAGCTTCTCAGCAATCATCTTTTGTTCTCTACACATGGTTATTGCTCTCATCAAAAGGTATGTGTCCGAATCTAATACTTCTGAAATTTTTTTTTAAAAGTATAGCTCACCTCCCCACTAGATTTGAAAACGAAACACGAAAATCTTACAGGTCCGTTATTAAGAGGGAAACAAAAGGAGGAAAAGTTGGGAACAAAGAAAAAGAAGCAGTCATTACAACTTTACTGATCATTTTTGCTTTCATTGGTTGTTACTTCTGCTACTATTTCGCGATATTTGGTTACCTCTTCGATGTTTTCACGGTTAGATTATTTAATTTTCTTGGCAAGATTTTCTGTTCACCGATCTAAATTTATTCATCGTCCATATAATAAGACCATTATACTCCCATATCAGTCAAATAATCATTTCAGAGCTGGTCGAACAGGAGTTTTCTCTTTCTGGAGATTATGATGTTTCTCACGATCTACATGAACTCTCTCTTCAACCCCATGCTTTACATCATCAGGAACACTAAGTACAAAAAGGAACTTAAACTTATCAAGCAAGAAATTTGTAAGATGTTTAGGTCAAAGAACGGGACCGCCAGAGGTTCCAAAATATTTAAAAGAGCTTCTGCTGTTTGTCATAAATCTGCTGTTAAAAATGAAACCTTGTTAACCATGGCGGACGATCAATGCTGAATTAGAATATTCGGTGTACAATCCGGATTGGAATATTATTTATGAGTCGCATAGTTGAAATGTTTTCTTGGGTAAATTTCTATTGATCCCGTTTGATGCGACAAGTTGTAGTGTTGTACGAAGGTTTAAATCATTTATATTACAAATGTGTTACGGAAAGTTGTACGGTAGCCGGAATTATACCTTGGAGTGCCGTTTGACGGAAAAAGCAGTTAACTATGCAGGTATAAATAGTCGTATGTAACTATCTTATCAAATAGACATTCGAAAATTTGGTCAAACACTGCAGCAAACGGCGATTTTTAACAAATATCAAATCTATTTTACGGTTATTCAATTTTTAACAATGTTAAGATTCAACAATATTAAAATGTGACGTTATTACATGTAATGCACGTATTTTTAATCAGTTTCTTTAAATCAGTAATAGCGATTGAAAATTCAATTCTAATCAAAGTGAGATTCTTCCAAACACTACGTCATATAAATTGTAATTGTTTGAAATCCTAAGCTAAAAAGTGTTCCATCTAGCAATACGCATGCGAGTTGTTCTGACCCTTGAAAGTACCGGGAGCAATGTCTGGAACATGATTCCCGCATGATTGTTATCTTGTCTTCCCCGTAGTTGAAGGTGAAAACTAGTCGGCCTGCTCTGTCTGGCACTGACATCAGAGCATTCAGTTCCCTTTCTTACCACCACTCCCCCACTATCTGCTGAGGTGTTTGATCTCCTGTTAAAACTTTGGGACACTGGACAAACTTCCGTATTGTTCCTTGACCTAACCACGCTGCCTGCAGCATTGCTAGTAATTCTACATTCAAACTCGGACACGTCATCCTTGTTGATATACCACATCACCTGTTTCACTGTCTTAAAGATGTGTGGTGATCTGAGACCGTACACGATTGGAT